GGCAGCAATTTTAAGGCTGGTCCCTCTTGCCGTTCAATGCCTTACCCCCAAACCCTCGACTCCCGCCCTCTTCGCCTTCGATCGCATCCCCAATTGGGGGGTCCATTTTCCTTGCCGGGGCGGGCGACCTCAGACAGGCAAGCGGGCGGCGGGGTCCAAACGGGCGGTCGGGACGCTTCGAGAAAGCCCTGAGGGGGGCGGTCGGGTCGGACTCGGCCCTTCCTCGGGCGGTCGGGTCGTGTCAGGCCTGCCCGAAGGGGCGGAATCAAGGGAGGGTAGGGCCTGGATTTTTTAGAAAACTGTACATGCGAGCGAGCTTTCATCCGATGCTTCTGTGCAGTGCCATTTCGGCTGAAGAGCCCCTGGAGGGCGAAAGCTACCTGCGCTTGGCACACAAAACACATCAGCATCCGAGCAGGCTTGATAGTCCTTTCGATCGGGGGGCGGGCGGGTTTCCGAACAAGCAAGCAGCCAGGCCCTCACGGGCGGGTCGGGCGGGCGGACCCCGACAGGCGGGTCGGGCGGGCACGGCACGAAAGCAGGGTGGGCGGCGAGGAAGTCGAGGGCGAGAGCGCGACTCCCGAGCGTCGGGGGCGCGATCCCTAATCTGAAGGGGCCCCAGGACACACAAATTAATTCACACAAATCAAAAGATTCCCCATATTTTCCTATATATGTTCTGTGTGTTTTGTCTCCCCCCCCACTTCCCATAGTTTCCCATATTTTCATTGGAATCGACGATTAATTGTGTCTGTGTGTTTTTCCCTCTCCTGGTAATCAGGAAGCCCCAGGCGATGGCGCAACTCCTGAAGAATGCGCGCGGACGTCTCGAGCAAGGGTGCGATTCTTGAGCAAGTTTGGCGGGATTCCCCCACGACAATCGGCTCTCAAGCGGCGAGCTTGCGGTTCATGGTTGAACTGCGGAGGCCGATCAGGCGAAAGCGCGCATCTTGAGCAGGTTGCACAGAAGTCTCGAGCGAGAGGTTCATTCCTCTGTAGAACGTGACGACATCTCAAACAACAACCATGGTAAGACAGTTCGCTCTGGGAAGGGAGTCGGCCAGAAGAAAAATCAAACTCTTATAATAATTGAGACCCCACTAACAGGCGCACTGGCCAGCCAGCCCAACCCTCACCAAACCAATGCCCGAAACAGACCCCAATTCAAACAGGTCCACTACTGCTGGGCAGCCGGGCGACAGAAGTACTAAATGGGGGGAGGCGGAGGAGGAAGAGGAGGAGGAGGAGGAGGAGGAAAAGGAGGAGGACCAATGTAAACCCAAGACTCATCAACGATGTCGGAGTAAACCCTCCCTCAAAACTCCCTCTTCGTAGGTCCATACAAAGATTCATTTCCATTGGGGGAAATGACCCGTTGGGAGGTAGCCGCTTGAAAACCCTGAAGCCTGCCAAAGCACCATCCTCGGGACTCCAACGCCACGAATCAACCTGACTGCTGCGTCTGGACGATCCTGAATCGTACCAAAACACCATTCCTGGGACTTTAACTCCGCGAACCAGCGTAACTGTTGCGCCTTGACAAGCCTGAAGCACTCCTAAGCACCATTTCTGGTGCGTTAGCCACGCGCATCCGTGAAACTCTTGTATTCGTTTACATCGAGTGCGCGTTGCGCTAAGGCGAGAGCCATTTTTTGAACAGGAGCCGCCCTCTAAGTTCCTGCAAGTGTTTAAAATGAGAGTGCGCGGCGCTAACGCGAGAGCCACACTTTGGAAGAGGCCCGCCCTCAGTTCGCGAAAAACTTGCAAATTGTTAAGACGAGTGTGGGCGGCGCTAAGGCGAGAGCCACATTTTGGAAAGAGGCCCGCCCTCAATCAGTGAAACAATGGCAAATGTTGAAGACGAGTGTGCAAGACGCTAAAGCGAAAGCCGCATGTTTGAAGCGGTCCGCCAGTCAATCCGTCAAACTCCTGCGAGATCCTGTCGTCTCGTAGACGGGCCACTTACCCGCCAAGACATCCAGTGCCATGCCACGGTAGACAATGCGATGCCTATGCCATGCGTTGCGTTGCTATGCTTTGTGATGCACTGCCTCAATACGCAATGCCAAGCCATGCCATGACATGCTATGATATGTCGTGCTCTTCTACGCCATCCTTTTCCATCAATCGCGTACCCTCTTGGGATCATTGCCCTGCTCGACATCCAACTGTGCGAATAAATAGGCGATCTACGCCAGGGTAAGGTATGGAAGGGAGGGGTAGGACGTCAGATGTGACGCTAGCGCACCTAGCTTGCCCTCTCCCCCTCCCCTTCCTCCCCCTCCCATTCCCCTTCCCCACCCCGACTCCGAGCGGCGAGGCACTCGTCGTCGTCGCGGTCG